TTTTTTTTTTTTATTTTATTAAGGGTACATTAAAGATTATTACAATCGTTATTAACAATTAAAGATTATTAAAGAAGACATTTAAAGATTATTGAGATTATTAAAAAAGTTATTAACAATCTCGTAGAGCACTAGAAAAAAATTTTTCCCCTCCATGGTCGGTTCGATAATTCAAAAACGAATCATCTGACAATAAAAACCCAAATTGCTTTTTAATCAGTAAGGATGTAGTTATCGTCGCACGTACAGAATTTTGAAAATTTTTATTTTTAAAAAAATGGCGACTGATTGAAAATTTTCTCACTATTCTCACCGTTTTTTTTTTTTTTTTTTTTTGTTTTAACCCGGCTAAAAAAATCTTTAAAATAAAAATTTTTCAAATTCCGTACGTCCGACGATAACTACATCCTTACTAATTAAAAGGCAATTTAGGTTTTTATTTTCAGATGATCTGTTTTTGAGTTATCGAACCGACCGTGGAGGGGGGAAATTTTCTCCAGTGCTCGACGAAATTGTTAGAAACTTTGTAATAATTAAATATTTTTTAATAAAAATTTAGGGTAGTAATCTTTAATGTACCCTTAATGAAATAAAAAAATCCCGATTCCCAAATTCCTTTATTTTCCCTGTCAAAAAAATTCCCAAAAATCACCTCTTTTTTTCGATCGTCACAGTGGTGTTCCCCCTTAAAATAAAATATTAAAAACAATAAAAACACTTACAGTATGGTTGCGTAATAAAGTAAAAGTTAATGGTATACTTTTACGATTTAAAATTTTGTTATTTTCTTTTTTAGGATGAAAAAGTCTTGTAGAATTAGTTAAATTTTTGTCGAAAATCAATTTACAGGGAAAACTGTCAAATTGAAGAGTAAGAAGACAAATATTAGAAAGATGTTCGCAAGCATCATTATTTTTTTTCTAAATAATGATAATAAATAATTAATTATCGTATTCTATAAAATCAGATAAGCAAGTTTGAATATAACTTACTCGACATGATTGATGAGCTACAGGTAACTGAGTTCTCAAGTAATAACTGTCAATCACTTGTCTTTGGTATTTAATCAAATAACTTTCTTTAATATTAACCCACTCCGTTAAATTATTTTGTAGGCAGTATTTTAAAATTCTCTCGTCCAAAATTGTTGAAGAAAAAATTTTTTCATAATTTTTTGTAAATATTATCGAGCAAGGAAGACACTTACTGTTATCGCTTGAAAGAAACGAATTTTCCGGGCATGGAAGACACATTAAAGTGTCGAGTAATGTTCCATTGTGATGCCGTTCAACTAAAAATTAATTCTTATTAGTAAAAAAACATTGTTTGAGATTGTAAGATTGTATATAAATTAAACTTACTTTTAATTTGATTGCTAGAACAGTGACAAGTGTTATTTTGACAATAGATACAGTCGGTTTTATCAGAAGTAAGAATTGTCGAATATTGGCACCTTTCACAGGACACAGTATCATCTTCTGAAGTAATTTGCCTACCATTTTTTTCACAAATACACTCTAAACCTATTTAGTATAAAAAATTCCATTATATAGGAATATTTATATTATTAAAAATTTTAATAATAAAAAAATTCTTACGGTTTTCAGACGATATTAAATTACTGGGACATTTTTGACACGTAAAATTGTGAGGGATAAACAGTTCATTGCGGCTACACTCTTGGGGATTCGAATATTCAAATATAAAATCATCAGAGTCACTCATAACATAATTAATTGAGTGTAAAAGTATAAAAAAACATGTCAAGTACTCGTCCATTGTTTGGCAGTATGAAAGTGAGTGTTTGAGAAAACAATAAAAAATATGCACTGTGTGTGTTTGTTTGTTGTCATATAAGGTGGGTACGTATCCTAGCAACCAATTACTGCGGAAAAATTCTGAGAAAATTAAGGATACGTTGCAGTAACGAATTTTATTTGAATGATGTAATTGTTATTTATTGATTTAGATTTTTTATAAATTAAAAAATTCAGTTTAAGGTAAAATTTGATAGAATCTGAGTCTCTTTAGTCTTATTCATTGTAATTTCAATACGTGAAGTTTACTTTTAATTTTTATTTACACTTTTTATGAGAAAAAAATTTCCAAAAACACTTTAGTTAAGCACATATAAAAATTTTAATTTTTTTTTGCTTATTATTTAAGTATATCAATTTATAAAATGGAAATTTTTCATGATACTGAAACTAGCAGACATCTACCTAATAACTATTCGGCTGCCCAATTTTAAAACACAGTAACTGCAAAATTTTTATACTTGATTTTTTTTAGTATTGCTGCATTTCTTATAATTTTGAGACCTTAATTTCAATTTTTTTTTCTTAAAAATATTTATATTTAAGTATTTTCTATTCATAAATCAAATTTTTTTATCATTTTGGCGCGCAAACTTATATTTAATAAATGAAATTTTTAAAAATCTTAAAATTGAAAACACAGTAACTGCAAAATTTTTATACTTGATTTTTTTAGTATTGCTGCATTTCTTATAATTTTGAGACCTTAATTTCAATTTTTTTTTCTTAAAAATATTTATATTTAAGTATTTTCTATTCATAAATCAAATTTTTTTATCATTTTGGCGCGCAAACTTATATTTAATAAATGAAATTTTTAAAAATCTTAAAATTGTCAGTTATTGTGTTTTGAAATTGGGCAGCTGTATTCTTGAAATTTTTATAACAAATCAATTGTTGAAAAAAAAATATTTTTTTAAATTAGCACTCATAATTGGTTAAAATTTCTACATGAGGAATTACTTGTTAAATTTTTTTCATTATAATTTAATTGTTATAAAAATCTAAAAAATTATTTGATGTCTGTTAAATTCAGTATCATAATTGTTTTTGATTTTAAATAACAATAGAGGTCTATAATTTTTTTCCATAAGTGAATCAGTGTGTTGAAGATAAAAAAAATGAGATGATCTTCATAATTTAATAATCTAAATCTTATAATACATTATAAAATTGACATTTGTCTGAAAAGTCATTTTTTTTTTCTAAAAAATTTTTTCTTAATAGTTTTTAATACTCGCGCGATGCATGCTAATAGTCCTTAAAATTAGTTTGAATTTTTCACACGTGTCGCTAGTTGTTAATCATATTTGAAAATTTAATCATTCGATGTGCCGCCTTGATGTTGAGTCGACAATTTCCAGACAATTCTAGCCTAGACATCTTCATGTATCTTAAATTTTGACGTGTATCGTGTATGTGTGTGACTTGATAAAAAATCAACTTCATACCTCATAAATGAATAGAGTTTTAAATATTCATGCAAACGTGGGCTGCATAATAATAACTAGCAATAAATTAAACCAATTACAATTACAACTCGTTGAATTTAAAATACCTCGTCAACACGAAACATAAAAGCAATAAACATAAAGCTGTCATGATATATTAACTGTTGTGTATCAAATGTTCATCACGCATATTTTTTGAGGATAATAATAATTGTTAAAATAATAAAAAAAAAAAAAAAATTAAAAATAAAATGAATGCGAATAATAGCATCGAGATTGAGCAACTTGAAGCATCAGTTCGCAATGTCATCGAGCAAAGATCCTTACGGTGGATATTTGTTGGTGGAAAAGGAGGTGTTGGTAAAACCACATGCAGGTATTTACATATTTTCATTAACCTTCAAATTTATTCATAATAGTTAATTTAATTATTAACATTAACACAATGATAAATTATATTTTTAAATAATTAATACATAATTACAATAACATATTTTTTAGCTGTTCTCTGGCTGTACAATTGTCAAAAGTACGTGAAAATGTGTTAATTATCTCAACCGATCCAGCTCACAACATTTCCGATGCTTTCGATCAGAAATTCAGTAAAGTTCCTACAAAAGTTAAAGGCTTTGACAATTTATTTGCTATGGAGATAGATCCCAATGTTGGAATGACGGAATTACCAGAAGAGTACTTTGAAAATGAAAATGGTTTGTGTTCATTTTATATGTCTGGACATTTCTAGTTATTAAATAAAAAAAAAAATAAATTTATTTTATTAATTGATTACAGTAATGGGTAGTGAAGCGATGCGATTAAGTCGTAGTGTTATGCAAGAAATCGTAGGCGCATTCCCTGGTATTGATGAAGCGATGAGTTATGCTGAAGTTATGAAGTAATTGATATTTTTTATTTTAATTTCATGTATGATTGATAAAAATGATATTAAGTCGTTTACTTTGATTACAGACTCGTAAAAGGAATGAATTTTTCAGTGGTTGTTTTTGATACAGCGCCTACTGGTCACACACTTCGTCTTTTGTCGTTTCCACAAGTTGTTGAAAAAGGATTAGGCAAGCTGATGCGTTTGAAAATGAAAATAAGTCCTTTCATATCACAGGTTATTATTTTTACTTTTATTAATTTTTCTCGACCGTGATAATTATAATTCTTATATCCCGTTCTTGCCTTTCGGTCATGATTTTTTGATGCTAGTGTAAATCTAATTCAAGTGGATGGTAATATTCCATCTTCACTAACATTTTAGAACAAATCGTCCCCAGAGCGTTAGGTCGATGGGTAACCATCGAACTTGAACACTAGTTAACTGGTGAATGCTAGTATCTGTTCAATTGAATTTTTAAGTATTAACGACGAATAGCCACTGAGAATAAAGAGCAACTTTTGAAAAAATCCATGAAAAATTCCTGGCTTGGTTAATTTTATTATTGAATTACCATCCACTTGAATTAGATTTACACTAGCATCAAAAAATCATGACCGAAAGGCAAGAACGGGATATAAGAGTTATTATTTTCTTTCGACTTAAAACCACTATTTTTTCGTCAAAGAGATTATTAAATTCTATTCTTACAGATAAGTTCGTTATTGGGAATGTCAGAGTTTAATGTCGATAGTTTTTCAAATAAAATGGAAGAAATGCTTGCAGTGATTAGACAAGTGAATGAACAGTTTAAAGATCCTGATCAGACGACATTTGTTTGTGTCTGTATAGCTGAATTTCTATCACTTTATGAAACAGAGAGACTTGTCCAGGAATTAACCAAATGCGGTATCGATACGCACAATATTATCGTCAACCAGTTGCTGTTCTTAAAGGATGGTGACGTGCCATGTAGGCTCTGTTTAGCTCGGCACAAAGTCCAAGGAAAGTATTTAGACCAGGTATGTCACATATATGTACTTGATTAACTTATGAATTGTATTAATTACCAAATTTATTTTATGGTAAATTATTTTTAAGATCATGGATCTTTATGAGGATTTCCATGTCACAAAACTTCCTTTACTCGAGCGTGAAGTTCGAGGTGTTGAACATGTCAAGGAATTCTCCGAAAATCTTGTCAAGCCATACAAGCCTTAATTATTATTACAATGAGTAATAATAACGATAATGATAATAAATATTAATAATTGAGAGGAAAATTTGAATGCAATGAGGGCCAAAGGTGTCAGTCACATCATCTAAATTTTATATTTATAAATATTAATTAATTTATGAAAAAAAAGTTGTTACTTAAGATACTTTTTTTTTTTCTTTAGTTTCTGTCGTGCGTCCGGTCGACAATACTAACGACTATTACAATAAATTTTCCAGTAGTCACTCGGTATCTTGTACCAGAATCTGTTGATTAATCTTTTTTTTCTATCTAATTACTGGTCAAGGGTTTGTTTTTATAAGTGTATTTAAGAAAAATATTAATTGTATTTTGAAGTACATAAAAAAATTAATTTGAATCATGAAAATTAACAGTGAAAAATTATGAATCATCTTATCTTATGAAGTTATAAGTAATTTGAATTTATTTGTTAATGTTATATGAATTAAATTTTTTAATTCGAAATTTACATAAATATTGTCATTCATTAATCATATTATACGTAAATAAATTTATTATAAACTGCAATTTTACGTAAGGATAATAAAATTATACATTTAAATAAAAAAATAAATTTTTTTATTCAAGAATAAAATTATGGTTTATTTATTACTTAAATTTATACGAATTATTGATAGAAATAAAAAAAAAACTATTAAATATTAAAATGACAACTGAGATATCCGTTTAAAAAAATGGTTTCATGTCATTTGATTCCATGACAAGTGATACCAGCAAATTGATCCCAACGAAAACTCATTAATTTGCCATATACTGCGCCTGTGGAACGGAATAAATGAAAATAGTAAATAATGTAGGAGTAATTAAACTGTTACGTGTTTATATTGTTATTATAGTTTTAAAAAAAATTGTAGCGCATGTTCGTAAATGGAATCGCATGCGCGTGATTGTTTAATCAAAGACTTCACCCTCCAGGTCACTGTATAAACCTTACTAAATAATAACCGACAATGTATTTCATTGATAAAATAATAATCGTAAAGTGAACAAAAAATAACTGGAGTAAAAGTTTAAACAACAAGTAAATAAAATATTAAATCAAACGGTTGAGTTGTCGGGTGCAATGACAACACTCACCAATCGATAAAAATAATGCGAGTAAAGTTCGTGAGAACTTTGTTGGTTCTGGCGTTACTTGGTAATATAATTGTGTGGCATAAGATATGGTGGTTATTTACATCACAGAATACATTAAAATCGTCAACGGGTACCACCGTATCGGTGGACAACCCCCAGAAGCTTCATCGAAGATTAGCACGATTAATTACAATAGTAATACACCAATTTGAAACATTCGAAAATGATGTTGCGGCAACAGTAGACTCCGTCCTTAATTCATTTCCTGCCATGCCCATCCTTATAGTTTGTAACGAATTACCTTACCCACCACTCGAGTTAAATTTTGCAAATGATAGTTTAAATAATGTTAAATTAATAAATTTACAACCAGACTTTAATAGGTCTTTCGAAGATAGAAATCCACTTTATTTTATACAAACTAAATTCGTGCTATTTTTACCTGACGCTACGAGGATATCAAGTAAACAAGTTTTACAGGTTTATATCTATTTTTTTTTTTTTTTTTCATTTATATTCTTATGAAGTTCAAATTTTTTTGAAGATTTCTGAATAATTAATATAATTGGTTTTTACAAATTATAGGAAGCTGTATTACATGCAACAGAAACAGGTGCGATAGCATTACCAATTGGTAAAAATTCTTTGAATTGTTTAGAATTACATGTTAAGATAAAAGAATGGAATTTGCGTGTTACCAAAACGACTGGTACAACTTGCGATGCTATTACTGGTAAACATGCAACTCTAATTGATACACATGCATTAAAAAAATTATCTGATCCATTCATGTTGCCGTTTATGGATGCATTGTATCTGCAAACAACTGTTGCTAATATCAAAGTGAGTATTTAGTATGGAAAAATTTTTTGATTACTTTTTTGTAATTAATTTTTTAGTTTTCAATGCTTGTAGAAAATTATTATCTTTTATAATAATAAATATAAATAATTTTATTAGATTAATATAATGAAGAATCATCAGCTGAATGAAGGAAAACCATTGTTTCGAAGTCAACAATCACAATGGAAATTGCAACAGCTCCATCAAAAACGAGAACGATCGATGTTCGAAAAATTAGGATTCAAAAGAGTAATAAGAGCATCGGGTGCTGTTGATTGGTATGGATGTTCACGAGATACGCCACGTTGTTTTGGATCAATAGTTAATGGAGTACCATCGTATCTGTATCAAAACCGTTTCACACCACCCTGTTGCCTGGCTGGTCTACGTAAAGTTGCTCATCACGTTTTTGATAAATTAGAAGAGGTGGGAATCAGGTTCTGGCTAGAGGGCAGTTCGTTGTTGGGTGCAATGAAAAATGGTGACATTCTACCGTGGGATTATCAAGTAGAAATCGGGATCAATCGGGATGATTTAAATCGTTCACCGTGGTTAGTAAAAGCACGTAATAAACCTGTCACCGATAACCACGGGTTCGTTTGGGAGAAAGCGACTGAGGGAGAATTTTATAAAGTCCAATATTCTAAAATAAATCGTTTACATGTTAATTTACTCCCATTTTATGTTAAAAATGGTACAATGACACGCGATTCTTGGTTTTTGAAGAACCGCGATTTTCCGGAACAATTTTTGCATCCAATGTCGAGTATCGAATTTGCGGGTAGGCAAGTGCCTAGTCCTAATAATATTAGGGATTTTTTGGAAATAAAGTATTATAAAGGTGTTGTCGAGAATCCAGAATTACCTGGGAAATTATTTAATTAGTTAAGTCCTAGATTTTAATAATTATAACTATTTTTTTCTCCGATATTCCTGTTATTTAGGCTCTGTAGTTAGATTTATTATTAATAATCATCCCATTCATTTTTATTAATAATAAATGAGTCAAGTTTAACGTTATCTAGATTGTTTACGGTCAATTACTTGGGGAATGGTGCCAATAATATTCAATAAAGTATGCAATAGAATGACATAATCAATTACTTGACGTATTGCTCAGTTTTTTGCTATACTTAAATAAAACTTTTTTTTAACTCTTACTCATATTAATGTTTAACTAAATTGTGCAGCTATGATTTTATATTTGGGAGATAATAATAATTATTGAACAAAAAATATAGTATGTGAATTATTTATTAAATCTTTATAATTCTTCATCTGTCCATGATTCCTGCGTACTAGTCATTAGAGTGTAGAATTATTTATTGGAGTAATTTACTGGTTTACTACCTGAAAATTTGATTTGTCTTTCATAATTTTATTTTTTATCTACAGCGTAAATTAGAGTGAAATTAAATATCAAAATATAAAATATCAAAATAATATTTCTTCATCTTAGGTTTATAAATAGAATCCTCCCTTACATAAATGCAGATTATATCGACTATATGTATTTATAGCAAGGATTTAAGGATTATGATCTTATGATTCTATCAATCAAACTTATTAAAATAACTATCTATTACATCAGCTGATGAATTAGTACAAGAACTAAATTTGATGCATTTCATAACAATGTATTTATGGCAGTAAATTGAACTATTTCTTAAAATCCTATTATTCAATAACAGTATAAATTTTTGATGTGAAAAATATTTATTTAGCATCTTTTTTCTCTTTTGGAGTTGTCAAATTTGGCGGTTCACGTACAAAGCTTAATAATCTTTCTAATTTCATTGCTTCCAATTCTGCATGATTTAGATGCATTTGTTTTTTTGTTGGTTTCACTTTAGCTCGTAAATTGGGTGATAGTTTTAAACTATTTACTGTTCCCCTAAAACAAACATTTACATTAATTTTTAATTATTCACTAGTTTAATTCAATTGTACTTACTTATCATCGCCGACGATAATAAAAGGTAGCTCATTATTAAAAGCCAATCTTGTTAGTTTACTTCTCTTCTTACTAACGATTGGCTGAGTACAAATCGGTCGATATTTATTGACATTTAAATCAAATACTGTGACTTTTCCATCATTAGAAACACTTGCCAGGACTGTCGAGCTGTATGGCGCCCACTGAATGTCTCCAATCGGTACTCCAAGATCAAACATAAACAAAGGTTCTCTGGAATAACTCAACCTTAGAAATTATTTCATAAAAAAATTTTTTTTTTCAAACACTCACAATCGATTATCTTCCCAGATTTTAATCCTCCAATCGCCAGAACAACTAGCAAATATATTGGAATTAAATTTGTTAAAAACAATTCGATAAACCGGCATATTATGTGCTTCATTGTATGTCAGCATATAAGTGCTACTAAAAGCCGTATTGCATTTATAAATTGTTCCTTCTTCAGTGCCAACCAAAAATATATCGTGGTCTGTTGGATGAAATGCTAAACAAGTTCCGCAGCCTGAAAAAAAATTTTTTTTTTATTTTTGAATCATTCTTATAATTAAGCAACTAATTGATGACAATTAACACTATCAAAAACTTATTTTAAATAACAATTACCTTTGAGAGTAATAAAAGAACCATCAGGACCAGGAATTGGTGATCGATTCAAATATAAAGTCATAATTGTTGTCAAACCCAATTCATTTTGATATAATACCCAATGATTTATTTTACCATCAATACTCACGCTGTAAAATGTCAAATTGCCTTCTTCCGTATCCGGCGCCCATCTTACTTCCCAAACAATCCCTCCGTGTTTCTGAACAACTTCGTTACTTTTATATTGAGGCGCAGTTGCCGGTAGCATTACATTATAAACTGCTACTGTACCATCCTTAGTACCTTTCATATTTATATGAATTATATTAAGTACTTAAACATTTAAATATTGATGACATACTAAGAAAAAATTTCCTTTTAAAAACATGGGCATTGTTGTGACAAGAAATTAATTTGTTGAAAATTTTCAGCAATTTTATTTCTTCTAAAGAAATCAAAATTTTTCTCATTGTTTTTTTGAGAAATTGTTTTTTTCCCAAATCTAGAAAAATTTTTTTCAACAAGAAAGTTAGTGCGAAAAAATATTTTGATTTCTCGAGATAAGAAATAAAATTGTTGAAAATTTTCAATAAGTTAATTTCTTTTCACAATAATGTCTATATTTTTAAACATAGATTTTTTCTTTCGGTGCACTTAAAAACGATTTTTTAGTTTTTACCGATAACAAGAAGATGAGGGTGTTGAATGTTGAAATCCAGACACATTACCGGGGATTCAGTGACACAAATCCACTCCGGATATGAGGGATTCTTCAAACTGAACAAACAAACCGTTCCATATGACACAGGACTGTCAAAGGACACTAGAAACAATTTTGAAGTTAAAAAAATTTCAAAAACATTTTTGATCATTTATTAACTAAAAATTTTCTTACAGCATCCAAAAGAGACTGCAAATAAATCATAGTAGCGGGCATTGAAACACATATCTGTAACGTCATGTTTTTTGGTCTTGTCGTACTGAAATTTCCATAAAGGCAGCAAGGAACCTTCGCCATCTTTGAATTCGTCACTTGGATCATTCCAATATCGGTAATCTTAAAACGTTCATTCAATCAATTAAAACTATTTAAGAGGTTTTATTCAATAAAATTTACCATGTGATATTTCATCGTAGATATTTTGATTGACCATACGCTCGAGAGTTTTAGCAGCCTGGAGCATTCGTTGGTGAACGGCCACAGTTTCAACCGGTGTTTTTTTCTTCACTTCTTCTTTCTGCTGTTTTTGTTGTTGGGGGACCAACTGTTTGCGCTCCTTTTCTTTTTTTTCACGTTGCTGACGGGCATAATCCTCTTGATACTCGTCAAAGATAATCCATTGGAATACGTGGGAATTAAACGAAGCTGTCGGCGGTGGGACTGTCTGCGTACTCATGTCCTGGTTTATTTATTTATTTTTTTTGTTTAAAAATGGTTTCAGTTTAATATTGTCAAGAAAGTGGGTTAATAAAATATTGATAAATAATTAAATTACGTACTCGAACAGGATTACTGTAAGTTAGAGCAGCACGTTCACAAAAATTAAATTGATTCGGGACTTTTTTAGGTTTTCCCATGCCAATTTCTTCTTCCTCAGCCTCGATTTCTTGTTCTCCAGCCCCATCGCCTTGTTTGCCATCAGCTTCATCATCTAGAATATCAAAAGTGTCAAAAGAAAAAAATAATTAAGTAGTAAATAGATATAACCGTTTTTGTGAAGTAAAAAGTATAAAATTACCAGCATCGTCGTCTTCTCTATCTTCTTCAGTTTCCGCGACTTGTTCAGTGGCTTCTTTTCCCTCTATTAATTCTTCAGCAGCTGATTGAAAATTTCTTGCAAATATATTTTATATATTTTTCCATAAAATTTATTTCCTAGCGGGTTTTATTGTGCAATATATTTTGTTTTACCTTGGTAACCACCGGCCAGCTGCTTTTTTGCATCTTCTGAGTCTCGGTGTAAAAGCGTTCCAGGGATATTTATTACGGTAATTATGTTTGATGGATTGGGCAGTTTTATAAACTTGTGTTCTTTCCACGACCACTCGACTAGTGCATCAGATGTTCGAGGATCACCCGATGTAAGTACTTTTGTTATTTCTTCTTGCAGTTCCTTAATTTATAATTTGAATAAATTTTTTAATTTACTTTTTTTTTTTTTGGTTTTGCTTCTGCGAAATTTCAACTTACTGCTTCTGTTAACTGTAATTGATCTTCTGGCCTTAAAAATACTTTTCCTTTCCACCAGTCCATATCGCCGGCAGCTAAATCCATTCTTGAAGTTCGACCTCTTGCAACACTCAGCTAAAAAAAAAAAACGGTTTTTATTATTTATTGCTTTACTGTCTTTTAACTAAAAAAAAAAAAAAAAAATTATTAATCGTATCCAATAATTAATAAGGAAATTATAAAAGAAAAATTATGTAAGAAGAAATGGTAAATTTGTTATCAAAAATTATATAGACAAGTAAATAATATAAATTTTAAGAATCATAAAAAAAAAATAAAAAAATTTATTAAGATTAATAAAATCAATTACTAATAAAAATTGCAGAAGAATAAAAAAATAAAAATCACACAATAGTGAGGTTAAATAATAAATTAATTAATAACCAAGAGAAAATATTGAAACAGTAGTACTCACGTCTCTGCTAATATCTGAAATCTTCGAAGGACTCTTTTTCATTGTTTGTGGCATGTTTTAATCAAATAATGTTTCTAAATATAACTTTTAATTGAGTATTTCACAAATCTTCATTAATTTTATGATAATATCAGCATACGGTTGCCTTGGATACCGCTATTCAATAATTTTTTATTTTACCCGATAATGTCATGATAACGTCTCGTGATTGGCGTTGCAATATTTTTACTAATTTTCTCATTTTACTGTATATAACTTTCAATTTATCCAATACCTTGTATCAACTTCTCTGATATGTACCAATAAATTTTAAAACGATAACAATAACCTAAACTATTTATTTATTATTATTTTCCTAAAAAATAAGATACTGTTTCATAAGCCTTAGATGTTTTCGCGTCGTCGTCCACTGAAAATCAATACAATATCCACACACTGTAGTAGAGTCGAGTTGTAGGGTGCATGTGCCATCAGTTTGACACAGCCCGTGTACTGAAAGTATGACGCAAAAAGTTATTTTTTTTATTCTTCTTCACATTTAAGTTATATTACTTTACATATCTTATTTTATATTATTTCAATAATTTAAGATATGCTGTCGGGTTGCTATTTTATTAAATTTTTTGAATTATATCATCCGAGCGAATCAATACTTTACTTCGGTGCCTGATTAACATTATCATCATCGCATTCCAACAAGTTGTCCATATGGGTATTTATTGAAATCCTCATATTAAATATTAATTCGATTTTTTTTTAATTAAATTAAAAAATCGATAAATAAGAGTACTAATATTTTTTTATTTTTCAGAAATTTAAAAACATAAAAGTATTATGGAAGATAGTGGAATTGACAGTGATCCAAAACCTATGAATCATGTTGAAGACGATAGATTATTTTTGGTAAGTTTTCAAATTTATTTATTTATCAATCAAGTAATCACATCAAGTCTGCCTGAAAAAAAAATCTTATTGTAATTTTAATTAGTAGTTATAATTATAGTTGATTTTCATAGACTCATTAATTAAAACATTTAATTTTTATCGGTATTTTTTATAATAATAATATGATAATTGATAATGTTTGTAAGGTAGAAAATATAAATTAATATTATTTAATTAAATAATTGTATAGACAAGCGACAGTAGTTGTAGTAGCAATCAAGCGCAACCCCCTCAGCGCAGTACTACAAAACAATTGCAAAAAAAACTAGGTAAGTTAATTTAAGTTAAACATTTAAATTAGGTTATTTACAACTTGATTAATATTATTAGAGTAATATTATTAATTTTAATTTGATTTAACTCACAAATTTTTAATTTTTGACAATTTCTTTAACAGAAGCGAGAATAGAACAGGCCAAAAGGATCCAGCGGGGATCAGACTACATAAAATTATCTAATACTGATAAAACTACACTATCCAGTAATTCGAGTGGTTTGATACCAATCCAGAGACTTCCCATTCCGCACAAGTCTAACGAACATCATCCCTTGGTAGAGTACTGGCAAAGTGACAGCGAAAGGTGAAATATATTCTTTATCTTTTATAAGTTAAGAAAAACAATAACATAAGTTAGAAATTTTATAATTCAATATTGTTGTTTTCAGCGAGGATGAAACTACTTTATTTCCAATCTCGCGGGGCAAGGATACGAGTAAACATAAACAAGATCTTACTGACACTTTCAGTATCGAAGAACTCAGCGAGGGAAGCGAGGATTCGTTGAATCTAGGTCCTACAAAATTACCTCATCCACATACTCGCACATATTCTCCAACTGGATGCTTTAACTGTCAGTGTCGGATTATTTAAATATTTTAAAAGCTTCCAATTAAATATTTAATTAATTAAAATTAAATTAAATCAAATCTAATTCTAATGTAAAAATTTATATTTTATAGTTTATTTACATTCGTAAGCTTTATTTTATTGTTATGTTTATTTTTATATATATTTCATTGAATGTACATAGTCTTCCATACTTTTTTAACGTCTGTTTAATTTACCAAAACGAACAAAATGCCAAACATAAGTAATTTTTGAAATTGTACACGTGCTCCGCGGAGATGTAAAGCTTATTTGCATCAATTTGCTCTATTTATATTATATGCATACTCACGTCCACTTATATATGTTAATTTTCATAAATAATATGATTATTTTGTCGCTAAGTTAGGGCTGAATGTGTACTTGCATACTTGAAATAGTAAAAAAAGTATAAAATAAATAAATGGAAAAAAGTAAGACGAGTTATATAAACTAAATTATACAAGTGTTGATAAATGTGAATAATAAATGACCATGTTGAGAAAATATCTTATTTATTTTTTAATACTTTATTAATAATTCTTTTATTGTTTAAAAAAATTGTTTTTTTTTTTTTTCATAATTTTAATATTTTTTTTAACATATATTCTGTTTTCTTCCTGATTTTATTATTAAAACTAATTTTTAATTAAAAATTTATTTTAATAAAAGAAGGAAATATTTGTTCTTAAATTGAATCTTTTGTTTTATAGTAAAACTGTAAATTGCAAAAGTGAAAATTTTTAATAATAATAAAGTTAGCCGACACTTTTGATTTTTTTATTTTACTTAATTTATTAAATTATAACTAAAAAAATATTTTTAAAAAATTACACTTACAGTTTTTTAAGTTTTTAACAAGTGAAATTTTTTTTTTTTATTTTTTTGTAATCATTTTTTCAATAAAAAAAAAATTCTAAAAATTTTTAAATGTCGGCTAACTTAATTTTCATAAATTTTTAATTCTGTAATTTTTTGAGAAAAGTAATCATTTAAAAAAAGTAAGCAAAATTTTTTCAATTATTTTAATGCTTTTTTGTAATTAAATAAAAAAGTATTTATAACTACAATTAAAAAATTAATAAAGAAATAATTACTCCAATGAAAGTAATTGCGGAAGACAAAAGAGGGCTTTAGTAGGATTTTATTTAATAAAAAAGTGTATTGTTATTAGATAATAGGTTTTTATTAATATTAATATCTATGTATATGGGGGATAAAAAATGTACATGGTTTGGGTTTCGTCCGTAGTGAGGCGCTGGGAGTGTTGACGAGAAGAAGGAGATGAGAGTGTTTAAGGGGATGAATAAAGGCAGAGAGGGAGTAACAGTATAACAAGGGGTCGGTAGTAGATGAGGTAAAGCTTGAGATAGTAAAAGAGGGGTTGGTTTCAGCGAGTGACAAGGCGGGGCGCGTAATCGGTGACGGTGCGAGAAAGTCATAGCCAGTGTGAGGCCGGCTGCCAGCCGCCTAACGTCGTTATTGGGTTTGCTATGCTTGCACTCATACTTGTACGTGATTTAAATAACTCTCTATTAATTGAAACCGGAAGACAAACACCAGCTATTTCAAAAATAACACTTTAAACGAATAAAATTAAAACGTTTTGATAATAAATAATAAACAAAGGTCAAACTTAACCTTCAAATTTCGTATAAATTTTGTCATTTTATCCTGGATAATTTTTTAACTATTTCCGTTTATTTAAAAGCGAGAATACCATTTGCAAAAAACCGAACGTCTAAGGAGTCGGCTCGATGTAAAGGACTAAAAAAATTCTGAGCCTGCGCGACCCTAGAGTCCTGAAGACTAATGTCTATGGAGGATCGTAACCAAGCAGTTTCAGTACTGCCAAAATTCGCCGGTCAACTGATTTAATAATCGACCCGGCTTTCAAAAAAAAAAAAAAAAAATCAAATAATAACAAATGAATGTTGTGTCAGTATTAAAAAAAATCATCTTTTATTAAAAGAAAAGTGGGATGATGACCTGATAAAAAAAAATTATAAATGCAATAAGAGTCAGAGTAAATTAAGGCTAACTGTCACGGCTTATTAGACGCGATGGTCAGCCAGACAGTAAAGACAACACCGGTGTTGAGGTGATTAACGTTTGGGCACGTGACTTGTGACGTCGTGAATCGTGTCCTTGATAAGAAGATCTTTCAGGAAACAGCCGATCCTGGTTGTCCGGCGACTAACCTGAAATAATATAAATGATAATAATAATTTAAGTATATATATTCATCTAACTTAATAACTAATAACGTTTCAGAAAGCAGACAAGAAAGACAAAACAAGGGTAAGAAACACAAGTAACTTATAAGAAATAAAAAAAGATAGCTAGGTGTGTAACGGATAGACACACCTGCCAGTGGAAACGATGCTCACCCTAATGCTTGATGGTGTTGCTTGTCCGTGCCAGTATCATAACACCCATGCTTTGGCTGTTGTCAAAAAGTTAACCTTCTCGTATTCTGGTAACCTGAAAAAAAAGTGGCGTTTAACCGACGCGATACCAGAATCAAGCTCTTTTTTGTCGTCCTCGTCAAACTGGTCACGTGAAGCTGAAATTTTGAAGAGAACTAAACTGCAATCACGAGGAATGTCATCGTCATCAGTATGCTCGGCAATGGTGATCTCGGTACCGTTATACGGATGTGAGTCAGTAAATCGGCAGCGTTACAGCTCAGTGATGGCTGGTGAAAATTTTTTAATGGATTACAAATAGAGTTACTGCTGATGCTGTGTACCATTGAGACCCATTGAGACTTGGATTGTCCTTGAATGTTATTTTTGTGCTGGTTATTGTACGAAGCTATTGGTATTGAAGCTACTGCTGGTTGGTAGCATCCAAGGATTGATAAAATCGAAGGCAACAATATAATTGGATTGATATATTCTGATGACGTTTGCTAGTTGTGATTCACGGATGAATTGGTTCCGCTGCTACACTGATGCTCTAGACCAGCTGTGTGTTACTCTTCTATCACCTCTTTTAATCAATGAATCGTTCGCGTGTGACCAATTTCATACATATGTTTATTGATGCATGCATGTACTGAAGAATTCGTATAAAGAGTTATTATTATATAAATATCACTAAGATGAACAAATCATACCTAAATTGACTCTTTGGTGTTTGGCTATGTTTTTTATTTTTTAAAGTAATTATAATTATTGGTTTAGTTCATTATTAATGTTAATAATAAAAATGGTGTTTTTTTAGAATCAAAAGGATTGGCCATATAATAAAGTATTTTGTTCTATGGTTTACTTCCAGGGCTGTAAGTCATGTTATGACTTATGACAAAACGTTATTTCTGTTCATGGTGAAGACCAAGGCATCCTTTTTTACTAAAGAGTTTTCTGGCGAGGTGCGAGAATACGTGACGAGAGTGATGATAACCGAGGGGTTGTCAGAAGAATAGGATCTAAAAAAAAATATACGAATAAGAAGAAGAGAAAGAAGAAGAAGAAGTTGATAAAAAGGGAGGAAAAAGGATGCTGAAAAAGATGATAAAAATAAAAATAATAACGTTTTTTTTCTGATTTAACGTCGACGGGCTTGAACAATCTATAACGGTACATCGAGTTGCTGAGCACGTTGATGTTTTTTTTTCTTCCTGGGAATTTCTGGGAAGGATATTTAAAACCTGAAATGGATGAGAATGCCATGGGATACGGTTCAATCATTTATAGAATTACAGGTGAGTTTATGATGGATAAATGTTCATTAATTTTTTTGCTTGTTTATTTTGAGGGTGAACTAAGGCAGTGGGGTGAGGGAACGGTATCATTAGTATCAGCATGAGGGAGCTTAAATTAATAAATCGATTTCTCGAAAAATTTTGTCGTGATATTGATCCGATGCTGATTAACATAGCTCTCTTGGGAGATCTGAGTGGTGTCGACGTATCTGCATCAACAAACTAGATCAGAGAATTAGGTACAGTAGTTGATGTAAAGGATATATTTCTCGGTGTGAGTTTGTTGGACATTACACTGAACTGGATAGCTTTACTCTCCGGTAGTCAGAGAGATCGGAAAACCATTTAATATTATTAAGTTATTAAGATTACTCGGCTATCTATAAAGTGTGCTCTACAGTTATTATCTATAATACTGGTTGCATAATATCAGGGAATTTAAGGTTTGAGGGTGCATTATTTAGTCATTTTTTTCAATTTCTGTCTATGTTAAACCATTAGTAATCTGGTAAATCAATAATAGTTTTTTTTTTATATTTTTTATATTAGCTTTTTAGATGATTGACGAAATATTTTCGTAGGAAATTTAATCTGTGTAAAATTTATGAAAAATTTCTTGTAAACGATGTGCAGGCTTTTTGTAAACGTTTCAAAAAGCTTTTATTTTTGCTTTATTTACATATTAATTAATATCTATTCATTATATAAACCAAAAAATAAGAAGAAATCGGCAAATTTTTCCAACAAAAAAACTATTTGCTAAAAATCAATAAAGTCTACAATAAATAAATAACCAATATGTTTCAAAAGATTAAAAATTAAAAATAAAAGATAAAATGAAATCGATGAAATCGGAAATTCATATGACAAGACTATATATAGTGATTTTATCTGTCTCTTTCAATGCACCGAAAAAAAAATCTCTGATACTGAAACATTGAATTTATTCATTAAACATGAGAGATTAACGTCAAATTTTAATATACAAAACTAACGTTCAATGAATAAAACTAACCAGAATTTTATCAAAGCAAAAAAGCTTTCACTAGAACTACTGTAGGCTAACCTGGCCAATAGATTGACGGTAAGCTATTTTTATTGTTTTTTAAACAAAATTTTCCGGTAAAATACTACTTAATAAGTATTTATCATAAGTACAACACTTTAATACCACAATAATTGAACTGTAATTTGTCAGATAATTATAAATAGATCTGGTCAGTGCACATAAGTCAAATAGATTATAATTCTCAAATTTTTGCAATTAAGTTTTAAATAATTTATGAGATTTCTCAAC